AACATCAACTCATCTAGTGACCAATTCAACCAAGACAAAATTCATAAACCAAGTCACTCAATATCTTAACAACATAAAGGAAATCATAATTATATCAGTTGAAGCAAGACAACTTTACAGTAAGTCAAGCAATATATTTCATTGAATTACACCATCAACATAAACTGTTTACTTCCTTATCAGATCTCTATAGCATAACACATTTTTATATTACCCTTGATCAAACAACCAATAACTGTAAAGTGTTTTAAAAAAACTTTATTATATCATGTGTACAGGTTAGATAAAAATATATTCTGTTAAAACAAATATCTGCCTATTTCATTATTTCTCTTCTTGTTGTCTTTGTTGCATTTGATTTATTAAAAATAGTAGAGGGTCAGTTTAACTTGTATTTGTCACCAGTACAGATTGGCTCACCCAATACAATATTAAAATTTACTAATTTGATTTGTAGAAATTCCATTAGAGTTGATGACTAAAACAGCAGGATCACTTTTGTGTATATATTTCTATAATTAACTGAGTGAATATGGATATTATTTTCATTTTGTAAATTGGATCATTCAGATACACTGATATTGTAAACTAGGAATCATTAGGGGTTTCGAATCTTGTAACATCATAAAAGCTGTCTGTGTCAACACAATTGATACTGATTAAATATTGATATGCATTATCAAATTATAAATAAGTATTAATTATATATAAAATGCTCAAACACTAATATTCCATGGGTATAATTCATTACATTGGAATTATAATCACGATCCAATTCATCAGACCTACAAATTCAAAATGAAATCGGAAAATATAACTCCGGGTATAAAAAAAACAAATTTTAGTGAGAGCGCATGCATGTAATAACATATATATATATTATAAATTAATTGATTTAAAATATGTTTTTTTTTCGCTACACACCACTACATTGAGCACTATTTTGTAAAAATAAAAATATCTATAAGAACACCGGATTTTATATCTTACTGTCTGTTCTTCCTTTTTATTTATATATATATATATATATATATATAGAGAGAGAGAGAGAGAGAGAGATATTAAAACATAAGACTCCTGAGACACTCTGATAAGAAGCACTTAGGTGGTGCCATTTGAACAATGGTTATCAAGTTCAGTCCGATGAGCAAAGCAGAATATTTATACATTGAACTAAAGCAGAATAACAGTATAACTAAAAGTACTAATGCTCAGTGGCTGAGATGATTGAGATTTTGAGAGTGATGCTAGTGGTTCAAGCTAAAGTAAAATGCCAGGTTTCTCAATGCTGATTTTCAAGGCTTAACAACCTTCCCCACTAGAAAAACTTGTACAGCACAATCCTTTCTGCTTGAATTTGGTTTTGTGCTTCTGTAAATATAGCACACGCGCAAGTTAATTCTGTAGCTTTCAAGTTGTGATTAAAGTTTATTTTGACAACACATTCTCATTTGATAGATGCTTGCCTTTCTCTTACATTGCAATGTCTGCTGCCATTACCACCTGCAAAGCTACGTTCTTCCTTTTGGCAATCACAACCACTGCCAACAACCAAAAAAAAAAAAAAAAAATAGAAATAAAAAGATCAAAGCCTGAACTCTGTTCTTTCACAATTCCAGACATCTTCCACAAATACTCTCTCCATCATGAACACTGCAAAGGCTGCCAATGTTAGTTAACCTCATCCCACCCACAAAGCATCTACCTTGCAATCTTCTTAAAGGGATAGTCTTTTTCATTAAATATTGTTTGCTTAATACAATCCATTTCTTCTTGCCAAATAAAGATTATTCAGATATAATTTACAATTTGTATGATTTTTGTTTGCTTGATGATTGTCATTTCTTGAGTTTTATATATTGGTTTGTTGATTTACAAGCTAAAACACCTAAGGTTTTGCCGGACGTATAACTGCTTATATTTATAAGATTATTATTTATAAGATATATATATATATATATATATATATATATATATATATATATATATATATATATATATATATATATATATATATATATATGTGTGTGTATGTGAGAGTACAGAATCATAAAAAAAATCCATTCAGTTATAATTTATTTCATGAATATACAAAAATATATTCATCTCTTCAGATATATTTTCTTAATCTTAATATTACTCGTATACAGACAAATCGCTCATCAACGGATAATGGGGGGGGGATGGGTGGTCCATTAAAGCCAATTGACCATAGATGGGAAAGGATTAATTTTCATTATAAAACCACTATAGTAACTCCCAGTAGTTATGATCATAATGTAAATACTATAAACATGTATACATGGCATAAATAATTATATACTTAATATAGATATATTAATCAAAATAACAAAAATAATAGATTTCTCATAGCTCATACTCATTCATGTATCGTACTTTATTTTTTGTACATCTGTCTTTGTTTACAATTGAAAGGACTGTCATCGGTCACTTTGAGAACTAAAATGACTCCTTCCACCAAGATCACAAATTTTGAAATACATCACTGATAATTTGGAAGTTTTTGTGATTTTGTCCATGGCATCAGAAGTTTGTTGATGGGAGGTTGGGGGTAGGGATATATATATATATATATATATATATATATATATATATATATATATATATATATATTGGATTGATGATTGAGTGAGTTTGTGACCCTGGGCTTCATATACCATGCGTATATAATATATATAATGATTTTATATATAATTTATTTAAAAATTATAATATAAACATTATAAAATCAATACAAAAATAGCCATTTTGTTTCAACACTTTTAGTGTCTTATCAAGTGATATGTTGAATGTAAAATAAAGAAAAACTCTTTATTCTGCATTCAATGCCATCACTTGATAAGACACCAGAAGTGTTGAAACAAAATGGCTATTTTTGTAGTGATTTTATAACATGTTTATGTTATTATATTTGCTCTACTCTGTATTGAGCACTCTTTTAAGAATAGTATTTTTGGTTATTGGAATTTATTCCATATACACCAATCCTATATTGAATATTTTATATATATATATATATATATATATGATAATAATGTGGCCACTTGTACTCCAGGATATCCACCTACTAGGGAGGCCAGCCAATCCTTGTTGCAGATGGTCACTCAGGCACATGTGTGTTTGTTCAAGACCCACATAGTCAACCTATGGTTTATACTGCTTGTAATTTTTGTGTGTGTGTATATATATATATATATACATATATATATATATATATATATATATATAAATAAATTTTTAATTCTACATTATTTTTTATTACTATAAATGTTACTTTTAGTGGATACTTGTATTTTAATTGCTATCTGTTCTTTACTTTTTTAGGACTTCTCAATCTAGGTCGATTGTTATTAATTTCACCGTTTAAGAAAAAAACAACTCGGGCACATGTACTCACTAAAAATAACATTTATAGCAAAATATATAGGTTGTTTTTTTTTATATTCTTAATAGTAAGATTAGTTTAAATAACTAAAACTATTTCAGTTCTTTTGCATAACTTTAAAACAATGAACAGGCATTTTGGACAACATTATTACTGAGGCTTTTTTTTTTTTTTTTTTACTTATGCTAATGTAAACAATGACATTTAGCTATGTGCGTCATACTGTTTTTAGACACCCCCCCCATCCACCCTCCGCACAATTTTCTGCTCTGTTTACTTTGAGGTATTTTCAGCAACCATCTCTAATTTACATTGTCAACCTCACTGGGCATTGTGACACACCATAACAGACATTAGAAGAAACTTCTTATCTTGGTTTGCTCCAGTGGACAATATCCTGTTTTTCAACTTTCTTCAGTCAAATGACTTTACAAAATCAGGCTCAGAATTTTGAAAAATCAATGGCCAAATTTTAGTGCCAAAAATTTTGATCAGGTTTTAACTACTTATCTACTCAATAGTCTTATAACTTATTGTAAATCATTTTACTTGTCTTTGTTTAAAAAGTAATATTTTGAGGGAAGAGAAATTACTTACAGAAACCCTTAATTTTGACCAAGGAATCATTAATCATGTGTATCATGTCTAGTTCAACCCCAATTTCTGAGGGTCATGGAACAATTAGGGTACGGAAATACCACACATTTGGCTATTTTGTACTTTGAACATGAAACCTTTGAATTGGTGAGACATCATGTGGTGCTGTAGATAGTAATAAACAGTAAATGGAGGTTATCAATTGTGAAAATTATAAAAAGGTTTTTAATTATTTTTTTTTTCTAAATATGTGGCTACTTGTATATGTGAAAATAATATCTATAAAGACTAAGAAAAGAATTATATGCCTGTTATACACAGTACCTATGAACACTAATTGGTATGTCCCAATCCTCATAAATATGTAGGACATTATTGTAAATGGGGGTAATATACTGTCTAAGTAGTTCACCTCTAGCAGTGGTTTACCTACTGCACACTGCTGGCGAGTATTGTATTTTGTTGATTTTATAAAGATTACCATTTGATTTCCAACCTCCATTTTCATTATTCCTCATTCAGTAACCTTCTCTAGGTTTCAACAATTATCTTGTCTTTTTGAAACCTGTTCTTTTATTGTCCTTTCTTCTCAATAATATTTTCTCAGTTTCTTTCACTCAGTAACCCCTTGTGTCTTAGTGGCTTTATTGCCTTATTTGCTAGGGTTGAAAAAAGAAGTGGGCAGCAAGTACATTTTCTTACATATTGTTTTTTCTATGTGTTTCTGATTTCCTTGATTAGTTTTGTTCTCTAAATTTAATCCTGCTAAAATGCTATAACTGATGCTATAAAGATTAACATTTCATTTCCGACCTCTGTTTTCGTTATTCTTCATTCAGTAACCTTTTCTTGGTTACAACAATGTCTTTCTGTATATTTGAACCAGCATACTCATTTTGATGATTATACCTACTACACTGTTTCAGCCATTTTACTCTTTGGCTTTCTTCATGTATTTACTGTACTTGGTAACTTTCTTGCAATTTACCGGCTTACTGCCACATCATGTTGAAATATCAGTTCCCGTAGGATCACTGAAGTTAAGCAATGTCATGCCTGCTTAGTACCTAGATGGGTGACTGCGTGGATATACAAGTGGTGTAATGGATAATGGCTCGGAATTGTTAATCAGAGAGCCAAGTTCTAATTCCTGTTGGGTTCATTATATTCTCTTATGCACAAATAAACTTGGAAAAGTTATGAATCCATATCTTCTCCCCAGCTATGGGTTAATTAGTAAGACTCGTATCACTAAACCTTTGTTATGTAAAAAAAAATTCTTACAATCTAAAAATATTTTCTGGCTTTAAATAACCTACAAATGGATTCAATCAATCAACTGGAATTTACTACATATGTAAAACCTCAAAATTCATTAAGGTTTTTAATTTCTCTGGTGAGGAAGAATATAGGATTCAAATTAGCTTGTTCTGAATTTCTCAACTCGAAGAACATTTCCTGTCATAAGAGATTAGCTGCAGTATTTTTACATATTTTAAATTTGTATTTGGTAATAATTGGTGAATAGTCTTAATATTTACCAATTCCTAATAATATTTTTTATGCAAACTGTTGTATGTCACTCTTCTCAATAATCCATGAAATTAACATGACTAGATTAACCACAAATGACTTCTGAACATTTTCATTTTAAAAAAAAAAACTTCATTCTTAAATGTGTGTGTGTGTATATATATATATATATATATATATATATATATATATATATATATGGCCTGATGATTGCGTCCTGCATGAAACAGCCTGTCACTTCTGAGTGTTGACTTCAATGTTCACTTTTATATTTACATACGCTCTATCTCTGATATTGAGATCTTTATCCTATAAATATAACACATCTTAAAACTATATTTCTTTAATATATATATATATATATATATATATATATATATATATAAATGTTTCATTAAAGATGACAGGCAATGTACTATGATTAAGCTTTGTATTTAATTTTTCTTGTGTTTGAACAAGTGTTTTCTTTGCTGGACAGTAGTTTTTTTTTTGTGTTGAAATTGTCCAAATGTTCTATAACTACAATATAGCCAAAAATGCCTGGAATTACAGAACATTTGGATAGTGTGTATACACTCTTGTAGAAAACACTTGTTCAAACACAAGAAAAATTAAATAAAAAGCTTAATCGTAGTACCTTGTCTGTCATCTTTAATCAAACATGTATAAATGAAGGATTGCTACCTAAATACACCATATATATGTATATAATATATATATATATAATGTGCATGGTACTTAGTGGAAAGTGCTCAATATCTGTGATTGAGCTAAAATATTCAATTGCATGGAAGTAGTTTGAAATCCTGTGTTTCATGCTCATGCAATCATCAGACAAACTGCTTTGTTTTTTCAAAAGTGAATCTATTTATGCTTATTTGTGTTTGATTATTTGTGTTTGTGGGAGATGAGAAATTTTCTTCTGTGTTTGTTTGGGATGGCACATACATACACACATACATAGAGGTGTATGCATTTTAGTTTGTAGGAACACACCCATATAAATAATCTGAGGTTAGGCACAGATGCACATCCATGCGTTCAAGCATACATATATTCACAATTGTCATTCTGTTTTGGTGTCAAGACACTAGCGTTATATATGCAGCAATATTCTCTTAACAAGGAACAGGTGGTGTGGTCTTATATATATATATATATATATATATATATATATATATATAGTTAGGTAATGAAATATTCGGGATTCCGCATGGATAATACCAAGGAGGATGTAATCCAGAGAGCTCAATGTAAAAACAGAGCAAATATTAGTTAAATTAAAAGGCAAACAACCTTAAGGGTTTATAGATTACATTTGATTTCCTCAAGAATGGAATTTTTTTTCCTGGTTCCTCAGATCACATTTCCAAGCATAAAATAAAATGGTTTAGAAATTTGCATATTATTATTATTATTATTTTATACGTTTTTCAGGAGTAGTTTTAAGTTGATGCAAGGTGATAGAGGAAGAGAAAGGGGATGACCAATATGATCAAAATTAGAGAGGGAAGAGAGAGAGAGAGAGAGGAATATGTTTAAATCTCTCTTTATTAAGATACGTAAGGGTGTTAAAGTAAGGTGCCAGACATTTTGATCTATTTAACAAGTCCTTTCACAGGAATAGTAATATAGAGACTTTACATTCTTTATTTTATATATATATATATATATATATATATATACTCGACTCTCCTGTCAAATTCAACATATGAGGGTCAAGCAGATCAGTTCCTAGGAAACTGACATCCTGACATCAGCACATGAGATTTGATTATAGTGGTAAAGGTTTTCGTGCAGGACCATCCACACTTTTGAAGGGCTGAATATAGAGACCTGGTGCACTATGTGCCACAAGGTCCCCAAATGACCCTCCGCAGGTTTTGAATTCAGAGTTATCCTTCTCTTAGACCAGTTGCCATCCAAGGCTATAGAACCCAGTCTGTCCTGCTATTTACCCATAGCTGGAGGGAGAAGAGGATTCACACCTTTCCCAAGGGTATTAGCACCTAAGTAAATGTAATGGATTCGACTGGAATTTGAACTCAGCTCTCCGATTCCTCAATCCAATCCACTATCCATGACTCCACCGTGTATATATAAAGAATGTAAAGTCTCTATATTACTATAACATTTTAACAAATATTAGTTGGTGTGTAAGAGAGATACTAAAAATAGTCATCACATTTAGTAACCATAACAACAAAGACATTCTTCATAAATAATATCTTTATGAATATATTGTGAGAATATTATGAGGATGTGAATAAACATTGAAATATCACCAAAATTGTCTGAATTTTTATCTCTATGTAAATGACGGTAATGATAATATTAACCATTTCCCTACAAGGAAATATTTGGCATTCATTGACTGAGCAGCCAGTACTGTTTTGGTTGAAGTTTACAAAATCTTTCTCTCAAAACGCTTTTTAAGGAAAACAGACTTCTCAAGTCCAGCAGCTGTTACGGCTCTTCCCAGTATTGATAGGAGTTTCCTTCTGAATATTGATAAAAATATTTTCCACAGTCTGCCAAGATTTTTCTTGAAACTTGGCAGTAAAACTTCTGGCTTAAAATCTTTTTTTAATACTAAAATACTTGCACTCGAATTGAGGAATTAAAGAGCAGTGTTTAAATTTAAGTCCATTACATTCACTTACATGCTTGGGAAAGTTATGAATCCAGCTCTTCTCCCCTCAACTATGGGTAAATAGTAAAACAGACTGGATCCTATAGCCTTGGGTGGCAACCAGTTTAGGAGAAGGAAAACTTTGAATTCAAAAACTGTATGTAGCCCTGACAAAGCACATAGTATGAAGCCAAGGAAAGGAAGTTCGCATTGACTCGATGATCCTGACTACAGTTGTCTCCTTAACAGATTGGGTTCTATAGCCTTGGATGGCAACCAGTCTAGAAGAAGGAAAACTCTGAATTCAAACTGTATGTAGCCCTGGCGAGTCACATACTATGCAGCTTAGGAAAGGATCGTTCACATTGACTCGATGATCCCGAATACAGTTGTCTCCTTAACAGATTGGGTTCTATAGCCTTGGATGGCAACTGGTCTAAAAGGAGGAAAACTCTGAATTCAAAAACTGTATGTAGCCATGGCATAGCACATACTATGCAACTAAGGAAAGGATCATTCACACTGATTCGATGATCCCGAATACAGTAACTCCTTTTATTCTTTAAATATTAAAATGACTTAAAAAAAAATGCGTGAGAGCCACTCAAAGTGGTTATTCTTTACATTTGGATTGTTGTCTTTATCATTGTTTTTCTTATCACAATATTTCAGCTGTTGTCCCTTCAGGCTTTCATCAAGTCCTTGTTAATCCGAATAACCTTCAAGGAATGTCCTCATTACACATCGTCCTGGGTATGACGATAAACTCCATCTGCGTCCTGAGTATCATGATAAACTCCATCCGCACCCTGGGTATGACAGTAAACTCCATCCGTGTCCTAGGTAAGATGATAAAATACATCCAGCAGCAAGGCCTCTGATCAGGAGGTTTTGAGGAGTGTGGAACCACCTATTAATTGCTGATGTTCCCAGGTCCACCCTGACCTGGGGTGGTAGCACCTCTTAGGGTCCCAGCTATGAGCAAATAGTTAACCCCTAAACTGGGGTAAAAACACTATGAAAGTGTAAAAATATGTTTTAATACCAGAAATACTTTGTAAAAAAATTATTACCAGTAATAAATTTTTGAAGGAAAAAAACTATTATCAGAAATACATATTACCAACAATGTTTTTAAAAAATAAATATTACTAGCAATACATTTCTGAAAAAAATTATTACCAGCAATACATTTTTGAAGAAAAAATATTACCAGCAATAAAAATTTTGTCAGCATTAAATAACCCATTGAGGTTGATATGCCGTTAAACAAAATAAACCAAACCAATCTAAACCAAGGAATACATATTCTATTCATACGAATCTATCCTAAAAATGTTGTCGGCATTAAATAACCCATTGAGGTTGATATGCCGTAAAACAAACCAAACCTCATTCCACTGACCATATCTCTGGATATATCATTCAGCTCTTACTTAATAATGCTCAGTTATTGCTCATGTTTTTTTCCATTTTCAGCTAACTTATAACTGATCAGTACTATATAAGAGTTTAATGAGGTATCATTAACTGTGGAGAGTGGAGCAAGAACAATCTAGCCTCATTGAATTCCTTGAAAATTCCCTGCATTGACAAGCATCTGATGAAGGCTGGGAAGTAGAACAGCTCAAACATTGTAATAATGACAACAAAGATGAGGACAATAGTCTGAATGTAAATAATGCTAACTATTCATCAAAAAAATTCAAATAGAAAATTGTAGAAGGTTATTGTTAAAATTGGTTACGATGAATGAAGTGCGTGATGTGAATGAAAGAAGATTTGGTAACTAATGAACATAAGGAGGATAAACATTAATTAATCCTTGATTTGGAGAGGTCAAGGTTGTAGTGCTCAGTGAAGTACTCATGCAAGTGTTCTGCAAAATGACAGTTCTTAGGGGAAAAGTTGTCTGCGTTAAGCCTTCTTACATATGAA